ACCCCGCACCTTCGTCTTATGTCTGATCCCGATATGCGCCCCAGTACACGCTACGATCCCATTTTCTGGTACTTTGTATAGATCTCGATACTATCCATCCCGGTATCCAGTACCCACTACAACTCAGTTTATTGGTCCTTTGGCTGTTTTTCAGGTCCTGTTTACCAACTCTCAGCTATTGGCCTTGAAGTTTGCTCCTACTAAAGACTCATACATATAGCTCGCAGTCCTGCAGTCAATTGGTCCAATTCTATGTCGCGAAAGCATACTGCTTCGATCTTCCGCGGGATCGGGGATGAGATGCACCAGAGATCCTGTGCAGAGATGTGCATATCCCAACAGTGCTAGCAGATACCTATACGTGGTTTATCCATCAGGTACGTATCCCAAGTATGCTAGCAGATACCTATACGTCATTTACCCATTGGATACGTATCCCATTCACCACAATTTGATAATCTCTTGACAGCTGTCGAGGGTGTGTTATATATAATGCAAGAGCTACCACCGCAACACTAGTCATGCCCAAATCTATTGACCTCGCCTATATCTTCGGACCCCATCCACCAGAAGCTTTTGTTGACAACTCCACCTTTGCGGATATCCTGCTGATTGTTTTCAATGAATCTCCTCCGTCGTTCTGGGACTTAGGATTTGATGATATCGATTATTCCATCATGATCGATGGCAGTAGATTTCATGGGTGCCACCCCTACAAAGATATAGGAAACTTGGATGGGTAAACTTCTTCATTCTGCTTGCATCTTCATATTTTGCTTACCTCTACTTTCACAGTGCAATTATTGGGGTACTTCCTATTCCTGGGCTGCATCGATATGCCATTCGCCTCGACTATTCTGACGAGCAACGCACCTGGCTCGAGGATCGAGGCCCCTCTTTGGAGCTTGCTGTAATCGCCAATCGGGTCGGTATATTCTTTGTAGCACTGTACTCTCAGTGGTTCGAGAAGTGGCCTCCTGAAAACAGGTCAAATGAGGAGCAATGCAAGATTGTACGTTTCTTCCTCATCATCACGTTTTCTCTACTAATGCGCTGAATTTCAGGAGATCTTCACGTTATACATCATGGGGCTCAGGTTTAGATGGATCGAGAATGGGCTTATGCCGCCAGGTTGGACACAAGAGATGGGTCTGAAAAAGTTAGATTATCTTGAGGAAATGGTCACCCAGCAGTATGATGCGATTGCCCATGTATTCGACTAGAAACAGTGATATATTCGTCGACATCGTGATAGTCATAGAGGTCTAATAATACCTAAGAAAAACCAATAGAATGTAAATGCATGCCAACGATCAGACTTAAGAGGTGTGACACGGACGCGAGTCGAGATCAATTTCCGGATCCAAAGCTTCTGACGATGCCTGTGGTAAGCCTGCCATGAGGACATCCCACTGCTCGCATGCATTTTCTTCAAGTTCACGCCACAGAGCCACCTGTTTTAGGGCATATGCCCATGCCCCTGGTGAGTCCACTTTACTCTCTCGGTCCTTCCACATGTTTGCGTAGTACTGGAATGTCACCTGCACACGACGCATTTCCTCAGTCAGAAGCACACACTCCTCCTGCCAATGCTGTGCACGAGCACGGGACTTGCACCATTCGATACGCAATGCTTCATAAACGATATTAGCTGCAATCCAACACCATGGAGCTGTCTTACCTTCTTGTAATCCTTCCTTTCCACCTTGCAACCGAGTCTTCCAGATCCAAGACAATGAGCGCTGTCCCTCCGAGAGCGACTCATTGTAATTGTCTAGTCCACGAATATCCTCCACCTTCAGAGGTGAGAGGCTCGCTTTCCATTTGTGTCGTCCCAACCTGCTCGACAGCGTGTCCAACGCCACGTAAATATGTCGATAGCGGGTCGCATCAGCATCTATTTTCTTTTCCACTCTGTGCATCAAGGTATTTGCTTTAGTGCCGTACCATTGACCTCGTGAAAATCGCTGCCGCCATATTACAAGATATGACTTCAACAGTAGATGGTCGCGAAGCGTTGCCAAAGTATCATGAGCCTGAGCAAGCCGGAGCCGGTGTTCATCCTCGACAACCGAATTCTTTATTTTGATGGCTCCGAGTCGAAGTGCTGCTGAGGGAAGATACAGAGGAATTTTTGTCGCATGAATCTCAGTGCCGGGAGGGTGTCGGTCATCATCCTGGGTGCGAAGTAGGCTGGTCTTGGGCATGTATACCTTCTGTACTTCAATCCAAGCCTCGATTTTACGGGAAATACGATTTGACTGTTGTTGAACCCTTGTCCGCTGGAGGTCCGTTGAATGTGTACCAAGTTCTTTGATGTCGTCGGTGAGCCTTACTCTAAAGACAAATACTTAGCAAATAACGAGACAAGCAATCCAGGAAACCACATACTGCGCCTCTTCTAACTGCAGACCCTGAGCGATAAACTCGCTCGGACTTACATCATGACATATTTCTATGCTCGCTTCCTTTTTTTCTTCCTGAGCCAACTCTAAGCGCACGGCGTTTTCGGTTACAGCTGTTGATGATTTGTAAATGCAATTAGCGACTCTGAGATTTAGGGACGTATGGCGCAACGTCGGAGCAAAGGGATTTGGGTGACTACGGTCGCTTTCCCAGAGAAGAACCATTTTTCTCCATTCATCAATCACTGTCGAATGCTCCCGGTGTAAAGCATCTTCGTAGCTGATGAACTCAGCCACATGTTGTGCACGTGCACTGAACGCATCCTTAAATCTCTCGCAGATAGTTTGAGCTATGCATAGGTTTCAGACCTTCTGTATTGCGGCTTCTTAGGGAAAAAAACCTCACCCATAATAATGATCTTTCGCCAATTATAATCCCCGAAGTGATCATCCAAAGTATCCCAGCGAGAACCTGGCCCCATCTCCTTTGTACTATTAGCGAGAGCGTTTGTAGCGGCCCAGCCTCACTCTGGTGCCTCACCGTCAGTTCTTCCAACTTTGGCCGAGAAGTTGAAAGAGAAGTTGTTACGACATTTTAGGATATGCACAGGTAAATGAAACTTTGGAACAAGGTAAAGGATGTTTCGTTCAAGTTGGTGCGGTCTGAGCTCAGGAGGATATTGTTCAATTCGAGCAAAAAAGTTTTTGTGCCATTGACAGGCTATGTCGTAGGAGATGACCAATGTAGGAGGAGTGTCGCACGAAAGCGTTGAAAGAACAAAATAGTCCATGTTAATGTATCTGTATTATTCAATGTTCATCATGTCAAGCCCATGACAATAAACATTGGCTCACCTCTCTCCCTTTTGTAGATCCCCCACGGATAACGGACGCTTCATATCATGGCGACTGCAAACCACGGCACCTACACCCGTCGCCGCAGCACCTTGACCACCTCGACTGTTCGCGAGCTTCACGGCGTCATGATTATTGCATGTACTCTTCTCCTCTACTGGAATAACATTGCCATAGGCCTCCAGATGCAACCTGAATTTTGCCTCGTCCACAAAATAAGCGTATCTGAGGTTGAGGCTGGGATCACTGTCTTCATTCGATACATTCAAGCGCCGAAGGTGGAAATTGGCATCAATCGCAAGGAATAAGCGATATATCCATCGTTTTTCCCTGCATTAGATTATTTCGTAAGATGGCAGCACTGATTTAATCGACTCTTACTAACATATCATTGGCCCATCCGTTGGGCAAATTAACGTGAGGATGGGGACATGCTGGACAACGCAGCGTTAGCTCTCCGGGCTGAGTTGCTTCGATACCCCCAGGCTCGTGACCTCGGCCAAAGCGCTTCATGGCCCGTAAGTGCCGCCATTCACGCACAATTCGTAGAAAAGACTCATATCGATCCTGTACGATCCATCAGTTAAAAACAGTACTATTTTTCAATGATTTCTTACAGGGGGAGGATGCATGCCTGTATTATCTGACAGACGTGTGAGGGTGTGATAGAATTCATAGCCAGACACCTTGGACATGAATGACAGTACTTGAAACAGATTAAGGACACGGAAGGTTGCGGCAGTCCGAGGATAAATGGTTGTTGCAGGCCATAAACGACTTTGAAGGAGCTGACGGTATCGCTCAACAGCTCGCATGCAGTTACAGAATCCCATCTGCACTGTATGTATTCCATCAACGTCAATGATAATGAATGGCTTGACGACGGCAGGAAGAGTACACATGTGCCCTAGTTGATGACCGAGCTGGATAACCAGACCAAGAGCACCCAGTGACGTTTTCTCAAAATAAGAGCCGTTCCATTCCTGCCACTCGCGTCTTAGAAGGTTAAAGGAAAAAGAAGAAAAACACGCCGTACCTCTATCTTGTGCAGTGGCATACCTTGGTGTATTTCAATAATACAGGTCTTGCATAACATCCTAGTGTCGATACATGTGAGACAACGTAATCTGGCTTGATTCAGGCCACATTTATCGCATTCTTCGTGAGTACCGGATGCAGGCACCTCTAACTGCAGAATATCATCGAGAAAGACACCGCGTTCGGACTTCCACACTAAGAGAGGGTGATCCTGCAATCTCATCAATAGGAAGAGTAGCAAAAGGAGAAGACTATTCACCCCCAATGGTCGATCGTAATGTGTTGATTCCTCCCCACCCACAACCTCTGCCGGTGCAACATAATCTGGATCCAAGAAGGACATTCCAGACATTTGGGATGCTATCAATGTGTCGTGTGTTAAGTGCTGTGGATATGGAAGTATAGATGAAAGAGTGTCGATATTAGATGGATTATCAAGACTGGGTCCTGCAGGGAGAGCTGTAATAGTAGTCTGAGCACTTTGGCTACTATATCGCGTCAAAGATGTTGATGCTGATGGTACGGAGTAGTCTGTGTGGAAATGAAAATCCTGCATAGGGGGGCGGGTGGCAATTTGAATGGTGTGATCATCATCAGCCTCATCATATAAATCCATAACAGCACGGCCGCCTTTCTTGCGAGAATTAAAGTGCCTGGCCATTTTGTTTCGGGAGTGAACTGAAGAATACTAAAGCACAACAATCACTTCCTGCCTTTATACCAATGGCATGGCCAATTGCGAGATAAACTTTACCGTGGATCAAGGCAATATGCTCAGGGTCCATGAGAGCCAGGAATATCATCCTTCACGGAGTGTGTGATGGGATATTAGTTATTGTGGTGAGCGGAGAGAGTAATTGCAAAAAGCAGTGAGTCGAATCAGACGAGCGCTCAGAGTAAGACAAAAAAGTCTATTTTAGATGACATCATGTAACACGTGCCTTGATGCCAATGCAGAACAACTTCAACAAGACTAATTAAGACTCCTCCAATTCAATGCTATTGTCCGCGAGCCTGCGTGGCTTTGGAGCCCTTCCACTCCTTCGAATCTGGTCCGCCGATGACTGTTTTCCCTCCTCTGCATCCTTCCTCTCCACGTCTCCAACATGCCCATCTCGATGCATTTTCATGACCTTCAGCTTCATACTCTGGGTCTTTAATCTAGTCTTCTCGCCTTCAACATAAAACGGATTCCATAATTCAAGGGTACGAATGATTTTGCAGAGGTCCTGCAGCATGAATGTAAGGCAAGTCCAGAAGCGAAGTAAAGATCTCACCCTCTGCCGACACTTGATCCAGTACTTGGAAGCCTCCTTGTCCATCGAATCTGGTGGCTGTAGCTTAGCCCGGAATCGATCTTTCCAAACCATCCACAGATAATTTTGGAATCGAGCGTAGTCACCGGGGTGGGTGCGGGCTTTGGCTTTCACTTTGCGATACTCGGTAAGATAGGGTCAGAGAAAGTCTCATTCTTCTTTGGTAATCGTGGGCCTAGGTTTATGTCAGCTATGATCAAAGTTAAAGAAACGGAAGGGAGAGATACATTTTGTGTGCGAGGGCAAAGTTTGTCTGATGTTTTGTCCGCAGGTCATCTGCTCCCTTATCAAGATTTGCAGGGCTTCTTATAGATGTAGCAGGTATCAACGCACTTCCTATGATACGTATCGGCATGTTTCCTATGATTCGTATCCGAGGCATGTTTCCTATGATTCGTATCAGCGTTTCTCCTTTACGATACGTATACCAGGACCAGGACCAGACTCCGCCACTCGGATCAACAATTTTGCCGCTTCTCGCATTTGTCCAAACTTTCTCCCGACCTCAACAGAGATGGTTACCGTGCACAACGATGTCACCACTGAAGAGCGCAGAGCGGCCCATAATGCAAGTAGTCGCCGCAGTTATGCAAAGTACGTTTGTTTCCCACACCTTGCTGCATTGATCACAGGTATAGTCTAGAAATCGGAATGTGATCAACCAACATAGGCGAGATATGTATAAGAAAAAGAAGGCTCAAAGGCATGGGGGCAGGTGCGAAAATGACCATGTATTTACGTCTGATGTTAGTTCTGACCATGCTGATAGACTGGAGCCACTCATCCATCAAGCTACCTGCATTGTCGAGGTCGAAGTCAGTAGTGGATGTTCCCATGAGGAGTATGTATATCTTTCTCATCAGTATCGTGCTTATGTGGATACATTTTCAGACGATGCTCACCACTGGCCAACGCTATTTCTCAGCTCCACCGTATCTCTGCCAGATTTGCGATACTCACCCTGCGGAATCCACGAGGTTATGCCGACAACGCATGCCAGCAGTATCTGCAAACAATAACCCATGAACATCCAAAAGGCTACCACAGTCTCCTCGACGATGCGGTCTTGGAAATATCGACACTTGAACAGGATATTCTTGATCACGAGCATGTCATTCTCAATTCTGCCGGCGTAGGTCGAGAAATGCATTATTTGCAAGAAGTTCTGCGCCCTGTTCATGTGTTAGTAGGCTGGCTAGAAGAGATATTGTGTGAGGCGATGATCAGCCCCAGGGGACTTAGGGATAAATACAACAGAAGTGATCTTGCTTTTTTGAAGCTTTGACACATGTACGTTTGTAGGCATATAAAACTTTCAAGTGTTTATTATTCTATCTACTTGGACTGCTTCTGCCATGCTAGCCTCCATGTATTGTCAGAGATACACAAATGATAAGGTCCATCAACAGCCACGTGCCATATATCCTCTAGCCAGAAAATGAGCTTCACCATTGGGCTACCTAACTTCTCCAGCTCTTTCTGGCGGTCGCTGTGACCATCCGCCTGCAACGCCTGAGCTGTGATGGAGTCGTATGACTTTCGCATGTGATAGAGACTGTCTAGAGGCTCGACAAAGACCGCTATCTGCCCTTGACATCGAGATTTATCCTTGAAGTATTGCCCAAGAAGGTACTCGACATAGTCTGAAGGCGTCTTTCCGCCAATAAAATCTTCGAACTCCTGCAGAATTGCTCTGCTCTCCGCACTAAGCTTTGGGAAGGGATGGAGACATGGAGGTGGGATCGGTACCGTTACTGCACTTAAAATAGTGTCGCACTTAGCAGCGGAAAAATATCATGATATTTACATGCACTTACATGGGCGAGATCTCATACCAGTTAGTGTTTTGCACACTTTTGAGGCGAGTGGGGGATTTTACAGCACTCCATAGACCTGGCTGCTTGTTTGATCAGGATACGGACTTAGCCTGCGTCGAGTTTGGGTATTCAATGCTATAATAACGATGTTAGTGTAGCATCCGCTACGCCTCATAAGCTAGCCATTACATACCGTTGGTTATTATGTTTTACATGATAAGCATTCTTGCGCCATTTAGAGATATCTTGCTTATGCCTGCAGAAGGCGCATTTAACTGTTGTCGCAGTATCATCAACTTGCGACCACTCACTTTTCATAATAACGTTTGCTCTTGTCTTTTGTGGCCTGCAGACGTTCTTCTTGCGTTTTGTATTTTTGCGGGCGGGGCATGTGGAGCAGTCAGAGTGAAAGGACATCTGAAGCCTTTGGATCATATTTATCCATTTTGGAACTTTCGTCTGATCGTCTCACCAAAATAGCGTCTATCCTCTGTTCGGTCACTTCTCCTATGTCTGGCATCCTCTAATGTCCTTTCGAGGAATTGTAATGCATAGCAAATCTATTATCTCGCACCTTGAGGAACACAGCACCCTGGCGGTTACAACTGGTCACTCTTAGGCCAACACGCAGACCTCGTTTAGATACGTCCCTTACTGGCACCTCCAAATCTCTTCATTAAAACGGAGGAACACATGCATACCACACCCAAGCTACTTGACCAGTATGAAGTACCATCGTTCCAATACAACGACTCAAAACCATCGATTTCTCCTGTATTACAGTTTCACCCACAAGTCATCGACACCCATTCCCGAGGACCCGATGTTACAAGTACCGCATAGCGAGATCGCTTCTTACTATTATGATCGTCTTTCATTATGGCTACTCAAGTTGCCGCCATACCCCACAACTGCGACTTCGCCAAATTGCTTCGGTTGGCGTAGTATCAGATTCACTGGGAGTCTCTCCGGTGTGACGTGTTCTCACGTGCCTATGGGCATACTTAAAGGTGAGGCCAGAAGTGGCTTTGTTTTCCTTTTGGATCTCAATGGCCGCTAGCGCATTCTCAGGTGAAGGCCTGCTATTCAGCACAGAAGCTGTGAGTACACCTCATGTTTCACGATCAGTTAACCATCTGATTTATCCTTGGTCCCTTGCAGCGACCAACCTACCTCGAAAGTGATAGTATTCGTCTTCAAGAATGAAGGAAACAGCTGTTTGTACGTCGAGTTCATCACCCTCCAAGAGACAGCTCGGCATCCTGATACGATGTTGTAGATCGCCCATCGTGTCGAAAACTATCGTCGCGATTTCTTACTGAGAAATATCGGGGATTATCTTCAAGCCATCTTCAATGAAAACGTAGAGGCATGGTGGGATGACTTCCTGCAGCGTTACATCCTATGCTACCCAGGCTCTGTGCTCGACGAGCGGTTGTACGGCACTGCTTTATATAGGTGGAGCATGTATTCCTTGAAGAAGGTTTGTTATTCCCTTACCTCTGGTGCACTGAGGGTTAATATTCTTTGCAGCAACTTGAAGCATGGATGGACTCTCATGGAAACGGCCTCACCACCGAGGAAGCATACCATTATCTCGACCGGCATCTATACGCAACCCTTTTCATACCTCAAGACTCACCGGACCCGGTCTCAGACAACAAGAACGCAAATAAGTCCACTCAGTCCACTGAATCTACCAGTGTTCCAAGTACAGATGTCGGAAATGGGTACTGGAGAGGTCTAGTCGCTGATGGTATGGATCAAGAGCGGGTTAGTCTCTTGGCCAAGCTTGAGAAAGAGAAAGAGGAAGCATGTCATATGGCCATTGAAGCATGGGCTAGGGATGTTTATGTCAAGTCGAAAAGGGATCGTTCCATGTAGCGTTACTAGTCAATTCATTTCACACCAAATATCCTGTGTGTCGCTGCTATTACCGTTTTATCCAGGAAAGACCATTCAATTACAATACTGTAAACGAATACCCTGCTGGTGCATCAGGTATACATTATACAACGGAGAGTATATACAAGCCGTCTCTGCAAGTGGAAGGAGAGAATCGAGACTCAAGAAGACCTTAAAGTATGTACACCTAGTAGATACCTATCCGAAGATGTGTCGTAAGATTTCCATGTAGTCTGATACCTATCCTATCCAAAGTGTCGTAAAGTTGCCATGCAGTGTCAGACGATACATAGAAGATACCTATCCAAAGTGCCGTAAAATTGCCATGCAGCATCAGACGATATGTAGAAGATGCCTAGCCAACATGTCGTAAGATTGACGGCAAAGATACCGAGAGCATACCTACCTGTGGCATCCATATCTGCCTAAAGAATAGAGGAGAATTAGGCACGAAGCAATCAGATTTCAGCAATAAGCAGTTAGATGGCTTGATTTTCGTGAGACCTGAAGCAACACGACGAGGCACAAAAGTGGTTTTGGTAAATGGAAACCATAGCGGTCAGGAACAGCCGAGTTCCGTTGTCAGACAATTATACCATATCATGCGAAGCTAAGATGATCTTTAAAGCCTTCCAGCTGGGGTTTCTTGCTAGGAACAAACTCGGAGAATGGTTCAACAACACGATGTCATTTGAAAGGGTATGAACGTATGAAACACATGGCGAAACATACGTAACAAGTTAAAAAATATGTACGAGAATCATAAATAAATTGTATGCAGAAGAAGAAATAAAATGAGGGTGTGATCAAAAGAGCGACTTCGTAAATAGCAAGCAAACAACCAAGAAAGAGCGGTGACGATAGAGAGAAGGATAGGAAAAGTCCAAGAAATTTTAAGAACATGCTGCGTTCTGCTGCTTACCGAAGTACTTCCACTGATCCACCGACAACAGCCTCATTGAAGGCGGCTTGGGCAGCGGCTTGGGTGGGATGTCGGAAGTAACAGGAACGGCCGACTCCAGTGACGAGAGGCGTAACGTTCGCCCTGGGAAAAAAGGGTGAGGTAATTGTAAGTCGATGAATCGAGAAAACATACCACCCTTTAAACACTCCCACAGCGCGACCCTTGGAGACTGTATACCAAGGCCCGTCAGGGCCAGTGGTGGTGGCGGTGGCAGAAGGAATGGAAGGGCCTGCAACTGGGGTGGAAGAGGGACCTTGGTTGGTAGTAGATTGGGGAACGGTGGATGGGACGTTGGGAACAGCTGGAGCAGAGCTAGGAGTTGAAGCTGGAGCTGGAGGAGTAGCGGCGGCGGGGGCCTTCTCTGGCTTTGCAGTCGTGGGGGATAGATTTCAGTTCACAACTGCTGTAAGGGTGGGAATAGCGTTCACGGGAATGACGTTTGGGAATGAACAGTTGTAACAGTAGAAACTGTGCAACGGGCCCTGAATGGATTCTGCAGAAGCATTTCCATGGCCATCACGGATGGCAGCGCCTAGAAAAAAATCAACAAAGGATATAATCAACATTACTGAAAAATGGCAGACCGTCGTTTGGAGAAAGGCCTAGAGCGGCGAGAATAGCAGAAAGTTGCTCGATATTGAGTTGAGTCATGGTTGCATCTGATCGCTCTGTTGTGTTAGACGGTGAACTGGGGTGGGGAATAATTGATGCGAGCCACAGGGCCTTTATACCTAGAGTATCGACTTATACATATCCTATCGGAGTGTCTGTTATACGTATCATTAGTATTTCTATGTCCAAAATGGTATTTATAACGCAGAACCCTACCTGTGCATCGGTTTTCTATCCTATCCTATACCAAATATCGACAGCAATGTGGGTACGTCCTCCTCATCTGTCCTCCTCGTCTGTCCTCCTCGTCTGTCCTACTCATCTGTCCTCGTCTGGCTTCATCTGATTTTATCTTCGTCTGACATACCAGACGACTTCATTCATAGACGGTTCCTGAACTATCCCGATTTAAAACACCATACAATCATTGAGACGACATACCGGTGAGTGTTCTGCTCCTCAGGATATTTAGAGTTTAAATGGACGAGTAGGTGATGGGCGTGAAGAAGGCATCTCGCGCAGTCCCAGAGGCGAGCATGGCAACGGATAATCCTGTCGCTTGTTCTAGTGACCTTCTTGGGACCTCCGAGGGCGAGTCTTGGTCGGAGAAGAACCGATGGACTAACCCCGAACAAACCAGGATGCTGATGGGTTTACGGCCTGAGTGCCAGGAGCACACCTGCTAGGGGTAAGTTGGGTGATTTCAAGGACGCACTCCACGGGAGATGGGCCCGACGATACCCGGAGACGCACGAACGGTATTTTCTGTATTGCGACATTCTTCACCTGATGCCTACTCGCCTTTTTGGCATCAAAGATTCTCCAGCCAATGCATGCTACCCAAAAATGATTGGAGGCTTTCTCGACCTTGGACCCAACCATTGCCTCGACGATTGTGAACGGGTTGACGAAAAAGAGTTCCCAGCAGCCACGGTAGTTCGTCGTGTCTTGGAAATAGCGACGAAAAAACGCGAAGGGGTGAGTCATGAGCTTGTCATCTTGTCGCATTACTAACGACGCATCTGCAGCAACTTGATCGTTGGTTCTGCAATCACAAGATTGGTCGCCACAAGGCAAAGCCATCGTCGCTCAAGCTCAAGCTCAGCCAGGGGCGTTTACCATGGGCTATACATGTATACTCTCGCAAATATTATAACAAGAGAGTTATGCCCCACACCATTGTCGAGGCGAAGAAACGCGGGCTCCCACCGAATGACTTGCGACTGATCCAGGAAATGACAGCCCGGATTTGGAAGAAGGAGACAGACGAGATAAAAGAGGAGATCGCTGAAGATGTCGAGAAGGAGAAAGAATCAGTTGTAGCCTGGAGGAATGATACCTTGGATGCACCAAAATTAATGGATGAAGAAAAAACAGCGTAAGTCTCTTACTTCACATTGAGAGCGTCTTTCTGACAGACTCTTTTCACAGAATCATCAACTCTCTTCCATCTGAGTTTAAGAGCATATTCGAGCAGTTGCATAAGTGGATTGGTTGGGGCGTTGTGATCATTGCAGGAGGAGAAGACCCTCGAACAGGAAAAGTTAGGACTACCGGGTAAGTGCTATTCAAACTACTTCACATACCTTATATGAACCATGTAACCTCCAGATATAATTTCGGATGTGAATTGCCTGATGGAAAGGATTTCATGAAGTATTTCAATGAAGCAGCCGCATCTGGATACATTCCTGGGACCACACCAGGCGAGCGGCAGAATTTTGCTGAATATTATGGTGTACCGTTCATGTATCATATGAAGAATGTCGTCCGTAAGCCATGTCACGTTCTTGTTTGACCATCTACTTACTGGCTGGTGCTATGCAGGGAATAAGGCTAGTACGGTTACTCAGGAAGAGATAACCGCCATGATCGACAGTCTAGACCCGGAAAGCGATGCCGAGATGGCTGGTGTTTCTACTCCAATCCTCTCATCATCGGCTAATACCGTCTCATCTCAGTCGGATATTGCGGATAACATGGATACCACTCCTGATCCCGAACCTGCTCCCATCTCCCCATCCTTGACATCGCCATCAGTTTCAGCTCCCGTAACCCAGGAACACAATTCCTTACAGTCAGTATTGGCACTATCGACAGCTCTCCCTGCTGCTCAACATGTATCTTCGCTGGATTCTTCGACTCCTTTTCCACAAACGAGTTTCAATGTCAGCACAAACATCTCTGGAGGTGCTGACGAGCCTCCATCATTTTCTGGAGGGATGATGTACGATGACGCGTCTTACCAGAATATATTTTCATGGTCGAATCCTGTTCCAACTGGCTCCGCAGATGATGTTGTTATGGCTGAACCTGATCTCTCGTCAGCGATTTCTGGTCTTCCCGGCCTCTACGGCATATCCATAGATCTGCCTCCATCGGATTCAAGTTTCAGTGCCACATTCGATATGAAGTCATGGCTGGAAGCATTGTTACCTGAGCAGAACCCCAGCCTCAGAAAGCATTTCTTGGGACGTTTCTAACCCAGGACCTGGTGGAGTGTCACTAGTCCTTAGCGGCAACTGCTGAGTTGAGTAGGCCATCTAGTCACGGTGCTGCCATCAGCACCTCTGCCGCAAAGCCTGTTGAAGAATCAGCCCTCAGGTGCTCCTGTGAACTCCACCATCTCTGTTGTCAGCACCACCTCAATACCCGTTAGCTCAGAATCGAACAACGACGCTCCTATGAACACTACTGTCACGACGTCTGATGCTTTGGAAAATATTGCCGATGTCATTACAGCAACCACATCTGCCACATCCGATGCATCAGCAGGCACCGATGCTGTACCTCGTCATCCCCTTCCCGACATCACGAATGTTACCCGCCAATCGAGGCAGGCACAAACGCCCTGCTCCTAAAGAGGTGGTGATTCTCTGTGGTGCTGAAAAGGAGCATGGTCCACCGCAGTGGCTGAACGACAGCTTTGAGGGAATGCATGATGAGTCTCTTGGTCCATCGTGGCTGAGCCTTCTGGAGAAGTGGCGTGAACTGGAGTTAGGTATCTGGGAAGACTCAGCTTTGATGGTACGTATTTTCTCATTCAAAGGTATGATGATTGCTGATAATTCATAGGGCAAATTGCCTACAAAACTACATCCCCATGCACTTGCTCTGTGGCTCGATGGCGCCCGTTCTTTTGAGGCAGGTCCTATCATCTCTGATTCCTCTGTTTACATGGCAGAGATAGGTGGACTGGTGGAACCAGATCAATCCAACTTGGAGACGTTCGACAGATGGACTACCGAGACCCGATTATTCGAAACCAATAACAACTATTTGCAGGGGAGGACGGCAGGGCCTTGTCACCAGTGGTCTTTGGATTGTACTGGTATGGTCATTTATGCTGAGAGTCGGATCTTTGGTCTCGAATGGTGATAGACGTAATGAAGGCCATCGACACTATCATCACTTCGAAAAATGTCAAGCGAGGCAACAACAGCGACCACAACACAAGTCTCAAGTGCAAGAGGACATAAATGTCAGGTCCGTTACTATCATTCCTAACTTTCTATACCCCTTCTTGGTGATGCTAGTTTCTGCATCTGTATCTGCACCGTATCTCTCATCGTACATAACTTGTATCTTTTTCCTACCTGCGTGGCAAGAAGTTACTCCCGCGCAGCATATCTTGACAAGTACTTCATCCAAAAATTATCTAGTCTCATAGCTAATGTAGTGTAAATAGTCAGATCTTGAACATTATACCTGTTTTTGTGTTTTATCGAGAGTTTGCACTCTTAAGGCCTGGGTCGGACTCGTCATATGGACACTAATCAGATTCCCGCTACCTTGGTGGGTTATGGGTATGTCCCTATTGTGCTTCTGTTTGGCTGAAAAAAAGCAGTGTGCCAGCCAGCTCCTTACTTAGTTATTTATGTAACCTCTGCGGTGGCAGTCACAATCGTCACAGTTACACGTCTGCCTGCAACCACACTTTCATTGCCTCTCAAGTCCCATTTGCTACGCAATCGTATTTTCATTCCCAGTCACCTTTCTTGAACATCCTCCCGCTTTGCCTGCATCCATACCATTCCTCATATGTGTAGTATCAGTGCTTTCAGTCAGTACAGTCTCGAAAATGGCTCAGCTGCACTGTCTCCTTCGTGAGTCCTCATTGAATGTTGAGAACCATTAGCTGAAATATGTCATCTTTAATATCTTAAGCTTCCATCTTCTCCTCACACCTCTCGTACCCATTACAGTCACCATGACACCCTGGCATGCCATCGTTTACACAAGCAACTGCTCTATGGCAATCAAGACTGGCAGACTATATATCGAAGTCAACCCTGACACTCGCTATTGAGTATGGCTGTTCTTATTCATGATTTCGATACCGAGGTGATGGATGCTGTCTCCCTCGTGAGTGCCTTGACGATGCCACGTCACCTTCTTATAACTCTTACCCTCAGTGCACGTTCTATCTGGTGGTTCTGATCTCACTTGCTCTTGTATGCTTGCACCAGTGCTGTAGAGTTGCCCAGGTTTGAAGGTCATTCCAAACTATACAATGGTTGTTATCATTCATGCCTGTATGTTTTTGCATGCCAGAACCAGCCGGAAGCCTGACGACCTGTGTTGCTTATTCGTGATTTGCTCACCGTTGCTCTCTGGATAGAAACTTGGCCTGTACGAGATGAACTAGGACCAGTAACGATCAAAGCGCCTAACAACTTTTGCCAATGGTAAGTCTTGTTTCTCTGCAGTGTTGTTTACTGTCATAAAATCACCACCAGAGATACACTGTGACATAACACGAAGTGTTCCTGATGATGCAGTTACAAGACTGGCCAAGTTGTGTGAAAATGCAGGCCTCAGGCGACGTTCTCCACTCGGTTAGTTCTTTTGTTCCTATAGAAACAATGACTCAAATCTTTATCAGGACACGGCATACCCATCATGATTTTTCTGGATTTTTTGGGAATTTTCTGATTTTCTCCGGAAATATCCGAGATGCCGGAATACTGAAAAACCTCGGCATCTCGGCACGGCCCAGTACATGGTGAGCTTTTTTTTTTTTGTCAGATCCCGACTGAGCCTCATTATGGTAGTTGGCACTGATGGTGGCGGCACCCACTGTCACGTTTCTTTTTGGGCTTTAGCGCCTAGCATCGTGACACATTGCGAAGCGACCGTTTCGCCCCCAAAAAAATCAGAAAAATTATCAAAAAAATTGTATGTTGTCTTGGGTTACAAAGTTTACAAACATGACAGATTGACGCATTTCAGACAAGGTTTCCCCGTGCGAATGGAGCTCGTCGCCCTACAAGGTGAGGAGTCAATCCGTCCTCCTCCTACTCATCAACGTCAGTGTCTGATTCTGCCTCGGAATCCGATTCAAGATACATGGCCCTTCCTCTTTCGTTACGAAAGATTTGGTAGGGTGTGCGAGCGTCCCATTCCCGGGTGACGTCTAACGGAAGTCAGTACGCTTCCGGGGGAGCAAGGGGAATACGCACTTCTTTCGTATCTGAACTTATAATAAATCCTCTTCGTCGTCGTAACGACGCTCCTACGCCCCGTCGTAAGTCTCCGTTTGCGTTTGCTGTGTTCAGACGACTTACTGCCAGCTTTTCTTGATTTTCGCTTTGAACGACATTGTAGTGAGTTTGCTATTGAGTCCCGGTAAGCAAATATAGCCTGAACCTGAAAAAAAAGACTTACTTGATAGATTTTCGTCGAGAGATTGTCAGTGGTGACTGGGGTTGAGGAAAAGGGCGCTTGTGTGGTGTGCGTGACTTTATTGATGCTTACATCATTTGTCCTTATTTAGCATATGTAGCTACATGGTAATTACATTGTTCTCTACTCACTACACGTCAGAGTGGCCTCCAAAAATTCTCACTGAATTCTGGAAAAATTCAGTGAGATACAAGCGAGTTCCTACTGCGGAAATTTCCGGTATCTCGCAGTGACCTGCGAAGGAAACGGGTGGAACAAAGGATAGATATCAGCTACGTAACCCTTGGATGATTCAACGATACGTATCGGATGGACACACGACGATACGTATTCGATACCAAGATTCCAATACGTATCCATAGGACTGGGTCATCCAAGCGGATACGTATTTCATAGGAATGCCGCCAAATGACCTACGGGTCTAGAATGCAATGCGGGTGAGATACGGTAGATGCATCGGGGCATCGAGCACGCTTGTGACACCGTATCATGGCTTATGAGCTCTTCGCAAGTGCGTTCAGTTCCTCTGGAGTGAAATATGGGTCCCAAGAATTGCGAGACATGTTTCAACATCCCGGATGGGCGTATGGGATTGCTGAGGGAAAAAATCGCATTCGACAGTATACCAGGTAGGGGGGTGAGTATGCTCAGCGACGACGACCTTGTGCCTGACGATCCACCCCTCATCGGTGAGTGACGCAGTCCTGAGATCTGGTCATTAGTGAATGATGCAGTCTTGAGATCTGGTCGATGGATCAGATCTCGATTGCGTAGGCAGATCTCAATAATTTATGCCTAAACTAGGCAGGCGTCGGGAGGACTGGAGCTCATCACGCTGAACGACATGGGAGAGTGCAAGAGCAGCGAACTCGAGGCGGGAATTGGTTGGACACGTGGTTGGGAGAGACCCAGAAATGGATTGCACATGAAAATCCATGGCTACGTATAACATCGCTTTCTAGCAGATACATGAATTTGACATTACTATAGTTATAGGGATTATTACAAAAGTCGTTCCACTATAGTTATAGGGATTTTTATACAGAATGGACACGAAGGGATGCATTCCCGCCATCCTCGGCGGTTGGCAGGCCTTCCGGTCTCCCCTCGCCAGTCATCTTACAAAGACGCCTTCGAAATTATCTCGTTATTGCCAAGATCACCCGGAGTAAAAGGGGCATCTTGTTAATGCGTCAAAGGCCTTCCTTGGGATCGAGGCGGATTCATGTGTCCTTGGAAAGGTACCGCTGTGGATAGTCTAGTCCGGATTGAGAATACTTGGAACGCAAAAGGGTTTAAAGTTGTGGTACCTGATAACTCCTCCGCTGTAAAAGGCTGCTGACGTTGCTCAGTCGTAGAAATGGTGACTCTTATCAGAAATGTACCGCTCCGCGACTTGACCAAAAGACTGTATTTCGATGCATTGCATAAGCGATAAGCGGAGTGAATACAATTAAAAGGGATTATTACCGTTGAAAGTCAAGTCGAGGCTAGCTGATGTGGTACCATGCATCTTGAAGTATGTGGTAGCATAAGTACAGCCCGGAAAAGCCCTCGGATAATTCAAATACATCAAAGTAAACAATGTTTTGGAGATATTTGAAGCTCAAGACATTAAAGTAGATCTAAATACACGCCGGGCCCCTCTGTTATTTTAGCTATTAATGAGCAAGCAAAGCTGGCATTTTGAGTCTCGTTCTCAGGCTTTTGCCTGCCAACTTTGGATGGAATGGCCGTAATTCATGCCAGGCATCTGTGTTGAAATATAGCAGTATCAGCACCAAGAACAAGTACTTATTGGAGACACACTGTATCGCCCTTGCTGTGTCCAATTATATGAGCCACTTCGCAATAGCAAGAGTTCTTGCGAGTGGCGACGCAAGATACATCCATCACATGCAACTCGGAAGTTGGAAGACCTTGCCGATGACACAGGCTGGGCGGTTAAGTCGTCCCTTGCGAAGTCAGGATCGATGGGAAATATCGGCCTATGAGCGTGGTAGTAAAGGCTGCAGGATGGAAAGACGAGTTGTAGTCAAAATTCGAATCCGTGGAATCCGGGTCGAACAGATGGCCCCGGGCCCCAGTGACACATTTATAAGGCTTCAGAAGGAAGTCGCGGAGACGGTCGATGGGCACCTCAAGACAAGTTCAGTAGGTGCTGGTATGTCATCTCGACCGAGAAGAGGCTGAGCATAGAGGCGTAGTAACTCTTGTTCTAAAGCAGACATGGAAGAACGTTTGAAAGAAGAACTAGGTACAGCAAACAGCCACAAGCAGAGCGTCAGAAGACCCACCGCGTACATCATCGCGGGGCGAGTAATAGCCTGAGTCCTGTGTGATAGTAGGGCAGAAAACACTGGAGTGATGATGTCCAATAGAAACTTCATGTGAAAGATTGGCTGTAGTGAAAGCTAGTGCACATCCTCCCCAAAAATATGGTGTCACGTGTATAGTGAAAGACTCGGAGAGAACTTGAAGACAGAGATGAGCAACAGAATAAAGAGACAACGGTAACTCACCGGCTCACTTCTTTGAACAACTTTTCTCTCTAGAAAATGGATAAGGGACAAGGTACGAGTAGATATACATCCAAATCAGTGAAGAGATGCGCATCACTATGGCGCTTTGGAACTGATGTGATGCACCTCGGAAGGATGCTAGCTTTTAGAGTAAATTAGCATAAGAACCAGGGCAGAGTCAGCTCAGATTTGTTCTGACATTTAAGGACTCAGATTTTCGTAACCCGCCAGATACGACAGTGGTGCTATCATGAATAATCTTCAGCGGACCAAGGGTCCATTTCTTCTCCTTCAAACTCCACAATAGACAACGGCGGACGCTGTGCCACAGGTAAAATTTCGCCAGGAGCCAGGAATAGATCACGGTCCAGCTGGGGATCAACAACATCATGCCTACGTCAAATAAGCAAACGTAGATCAGCAGATAAGGACTACTCACACATCTTGGACATGCTTGGAGACATCCTCGTATGACTGGGGATCGACATGATTAGAACAATGCTGACAGTGAAAAAATTCTAAGCTCCCGCTAAAATCGAGTGCATTTCCATAAACCCGCTTCTTCTTGGCCTCATCCTCTGGTGTAAGAAGACGAAAGTCAAACTCGGTGCCTGCACTGTGTGGACTGATGTTGCCCTGATGTACCTTAGCATCATATTACATTGTGGTCAGCTGCGCATTATCTGGATAGGAGAACCATACTCACACATTCACGCCAGGTCAGGATGGGAGGCCCGTAGACTGTGGGGCCCAAGACCGAACAATATTCACCAACAAGATCATGCGTAGAAAGAAATCGAAGGTTCAAATCATCCATTTCCTCTGCGGTTGTTGTGACGGGATCACAAGAAGCGAGTCGAACCAAGGAGGCAGCGATGGCAGATCGTGTCCTATCAAAGACGAGTGTTGTATTTCCGATGTGTTTATACAGATCATCGACGTCTGCGGCCGGGAACTGGTCATGCATGCTCCCTGGTCCTCGAATAAGATAGGGAACACATTGGTGCCGCCAAAGATCTGTATTCGTGATAATAGCATTACATTGGTGTTCACAGGAGAAGACGGCCGTTGCTAGCTTCAAAGGATCGACTCCTTCGGTTTTCAGAGACGCGACCTGGGCTCGCAGCTCGGATTCCTTTCGGCACTTCCAGTCGGCAATCAGAGTTGGGAGTTGTTGCATAGCATCCACAAAGCTGGCGTCGGTGACGACAAGTTCTGTTGGCGCCTCCAAAACAACCCTGAATGCAGGGAATGTGCAAACGTCCGCAAATGAAGGCACTTCGCGCCACACCACAGGCAGGAATTGCTGTTTGTACATGTTAAGAATGCCTTTGACAATTTCAGCACGGCTGAATAACGCGGTAGTACGGTCTGCTTTGGCTTGCTGAACACGGTTTTTCTTGATTACCGCTTCGAGACCCCGACGGCTCCTGTTCCAACCTTGACCATGTTAAGCACAGGGGGTATAAACGACAAGGACCTGCATACCCTGTGATGTTAGCTCAGCGTCACGCACGACGGACGATTCCAGTCTGATGCCCTGAACATCCCTCTCGTCATATCCCAATTCCAAAAGGTGGGTCTTTATCCTAGAAAGCGTTTAGACAGGCGACAGTCATCAATTCCCAGCAGACCCACCTAAAAAATCTCTCGTCTCTCCGACAACCTGACTCATCCGCTTCCCTTCGAGCATTAACACAACTCCATTCTTCACACCGTTTGGCATCCTAATAACAAATAGATCAGATGAATGAGATTATGCACGGAGTCTGCGCAAACTTTAGTCACGACATCGACCAACTTCTTCCGCTCCATTCGAAAGACGGCTAGATATTTGGAGAACCCAGGGTCTGCTTCCAGCTCCTTGATCTTTGCTTGGATCTCCGTGATGTCAGAGATCCAGTAGTAGCCCTTGCGTGAGCACAATCTTCCCGGTCCAGCTTTGTAAGTAGACTTAATTAGTCAAATGCATGTAGAACAGACTGCAGGTTCACCAGTTGTAAGCGGAATAAGGTTCAAGATGTCATCATCGACACCGGGGAAGCGTCTTCTAACCCTTGATGCAGCGATCAAGCTGACGGGGACGATAAGCTCGAATACAGCAACCAACGAGAATGCATGAACGTACTTTGCCTTCGAGCATTGCGTGCAGACACGTCGTCGGAGAATCCAGTCGACAAAGGCATTCTTTATATGGCAAATCTGATAGACTTGGGTTAAATGGGTGCATATCAAAACAAAGCAGCAACCTACATCACAAACTGGTTTCCCAAATAACAGGTCTACCCATCGGTATTCAGGAATTCCTCGAGCTGGCTCGATTCCCCCTTCCGCTTTCCTCACCGCCTTCCAAAGGAACGATGCATCATGCGCGGTCAGAGTGCGGCAGAATTTTGCATCAACCCGCGATAGATTGACGAGGTCTCGCGGAGAAAGCATACCACAGATCTGTTGACGTTGGTCAATGGATAGAATGTAAATGTAGCTTAACTCACCGCGAAGAGAATATCTAGCGGCATTGTTAATAACAGGCCGAGATTTTGCTGTTTCTTCCCAGTTCCCTTCCGTTTGCCTTGAGTAACCTTTGTTGCCCTTTTCGTTCCGGCCGTATTCGAACTGATTCGCCTTCGTTTCGCTGAACCAGGCTTTGTCACTACTGTTCATCTCAGCATTTGGACCATAGAATGTAGAAGGACCATTGCGCACCTTCGCTGCGTCCACCGAAATCGTATTCCTTCTCGATGTTCTCGTCTGATTGCCAACTGTCGGATTCGGGCTCAGAGAGACTCTTCCGTTTGGAAGGGGCTCCTGCCATTCTTGCAGAACGTCTCATCAGCATATTTGCTGCAAGAGAGTTGGCAGTGGAGATGATGGTGGTCGGGAAGTATGTTCAAAAAGGGGCTGATTAGTGATTACGGCAGCTTCGTGCCGGTCCCCGATTCTTCTGATTGATCCCGATGCACAAAACCATAGTATTAAAACATATACTGAGCGTAGCCCGAATTTTGTAAGTTTCAGTTGCACAAGGGGAATCGACCGCATAGGTGGATTAAACATGACTGCATTTAATTGGGATCATCGGTGCCAAGCACGGTGTTGACAAGTTCGTCTGATGGTTTTTACGGGGGGGCGCTCTCGGTGCAGTGGCCCACGAGCTAGCTAGTTTGGTGGGATTTGACGGTGTGGGGCTTCGGTAATAGATGGCGAATCTGTGCAGTTACTTGCTCGCTGCATCCCGTCGGTCCAGAACTTCTGGGGAAAGGGACACATGAAGGCAGACGATGCCCGATTTTCGTCTTTTCTCTCTTGATAGGATCAGTGAAGGGGAAACGAGCTTAAAGAGGGAGTTGACCAATAACAGGACATTGTAACATTGGTGATGAGCGCTACACCGAGACGTTATGAATAGTGGTTCTGGAGGACTTTCAGGAATTGTCTCTGTACCCAAAGATGGATTCTTGGCTTTGTCGGCAAAGTTGATAAAAAGGGCGACAGTTTTGCAAAAACAAACCAGGTAAGAAGAGCAGGGGGAGACCATGGTTGATGCGCACTTTACACCAGACGGCATCATATCCATACAGCGTTCGGGAATCCATACGGCGAATTCATTTTGGCGTGGGACCCTTCAGTAATCTGCCAACTGGGAAAATGTAGTAACACCCAGATTTTCCATCAACCATGAAACCTAAGGTGACTTGTTTCCCCATTGAATCCTAGGAGTTTTCTAGGAGTGGTATGATTCCCAACCGGTGGAGGACCAGAGGATGAGAAAGGTGTCGCAACATTCCGGAGGATCTTATGGGGTCGACAACAAGTTATCAAGTCGCCGGATATTACATTCTGGCCACCTTGCTCCCAAATTTGCACGCATGATGCAGAACCTGACTCCACCAACGCCCTTCTTCACCCTGATGACATCCACTTTGTCGTAATATCAGGGGTTATCGATACCTGCGACGCTCCTTGTCCATTCCCGCCTATCTCGGCGGTCGGCAGGAACAGATCCCCTCTGGTCTTCCCTTGTCTCACAAAGACGTCTTCGAAATTATCTCGTCATTGCCAAGGAACGCTCGGAGTCAAGGAAGCAGCTTGTTCATGCGGCGAAGTCGCCAGGATGACCTTCCTATAATTCAAATGAGCTGTTTGAGGAGCACCTTGAGTTCGAAACGGACTCGCGTGCGTCCCTTGGAAAGGTACCGCTGTGGATAGTCTAGTCTGGATCAAGGAAACGTGAAAGGGTTTAAAGTTGTGGTACCTGATAGCTCCTCCGTTGTAAAAGGCTGCTGACGTCGCTCAGCTGTATAAATGGAGACTCTTATCAGAGATGTACCGCTCATTTCCCCATCTCTGCACGGCACTGTCCTCGTGCTACCGGAGGTACTGCCCACCTAAAGGCTACCCTCCTCACGTCCGTACCATCCCCGTACGTTATCCACCTCAGATCCGGAACGATCCCTCGATGCCCAAGGAAGAACAAACCCAAGTTCCCCCGTGCCTCCGTCATCGGATCCTTCAATCCTTGTTTCGACGTATCGAATGTAATACTCCGACATAGGACATTCGGTAAACCCGGATCTAAGTTGAGAATCCGAGTAATACTAGTTATTTCTCCACAGAGCAAACGGGGGAAATGTGTGACGAAGGGTAGCGTAGGTATGAACACATCGCGCCAGGATACGCGAAGGAAGAGTTCGGCTCATGCGTGATTGACGAGAACGGAGGAGGTAATGAGGTGGACGCGTTCAGTGGTGGTGAGGTCGAGGGACCACAGAGAAAATATGATCTGCTCGATGATTTCTGGTGGGAGTT